GGGAGAAAAAAATCTTGTCGCAGTTACAGCAGGATCTAAGCAAAGAGACCCCCACGTTGATCAGAGTGAATATCATCCAGCGTGAAGACTCGAGGTGCTTGCTCTCAGCTTCGTAGGTTCCATCATGTCTCACTTATTTGTGGGTTTTTTTAAAGCCTTTTTTTGTTATGTATAATTTCCTGGAGGTTATTGAGAATAGAGGAAGACAGGAAGAGAAGAGCGTGGATTATGGATTTGCAGTTTGGGCAGGGATGGCAGAAGGTGTCAGGGGCTCAAGGGCTCATGCAGAGAGCAGAGGGAGGGGAGGGAGACTTGTGATGGCTAGCTCTAGAATTTTTTAAGAGGTGGTGTAATGAATTTACAAAGGGATGCCATACCTTGCTGAAATGGGCTATTTAGAGACCCTCACACCTCAGGAAACCAAAAAGCAAGGGAGGATCTAGGTGGCTCCAGCTAGCTCTACTATTAAGAGTTTGGAGGGAGAGAAATAGTAGCAAGATGCTGTCTTGCTCTGTCTCTCAATAAAAAGCTTCCTTAAAAAATGACCCCAACCAGTGACCCCTGAACCAAAAAGAAAACCAACCCACCTTTTAAACAGCAAGGGCACAGCTCAGCTTTGTGGGAGAGAGAATAGAGAAGCAGAAATGAGGGTCAACTGGAGCAGCTGCTATGAACTGGAGGCGTGGGGATGTGAGGGAAGAAGCATTAAATCCCTGACCTGGTAGAGAAGTGTGAAGCCCTGAGTGGGGTTGGGGAAACCAGCCAATACCCCTGACTGAAGAACAGACGATGCAGTAGTGAACGGGAGGAAGAGATATTTGGCATAAAGACAGCAAAGGTTCGGGAACCCTGATATGGGAGGATTCGAGCTCTTCAGAGGGAGCTGGCTGAGGAGAGGAGGACCTAGTGTGCATGAAATGCACTTGGGCTCTTATATGATTATTTGAATATTATTTTTAATTTCTTTCCTTCCTCTCCCTCTGCTGTAATGCAAGTTTAAACAGCCTCTTCCTTTCTGCTATTAGTTCAGTTGCACATAGTGCTTTGTGCTGAAGAGAAGTGAGGGAAGCAATCCATGTTTGGGGGGAAGAGGGAGAAAGTCCTGTAAAAATATCTCTATTCTGGATTTGTTCTTGGGGGGGCAGGGCTGTGTAAACTACGGCAAAATTAGTAGCTGCGGTTTGAGGAAGCGAGATTATGGCTAAATGTGTTGAGTAATTAAGGGGGGGCTGAATCTCTAAATACCGCAAAAACTTGGGATGTTGAACTCTCTGAGCTTGAGAGCTTTGCTTGAAATAAATGGAGAGGGATCTCCTTGGCACATGTAGTGTTTTGCAGCTGTCCATGCTCTTTTGTGGGGTGGAATCACAGGAGCAGAAGAGTAAGGACTGCTTGTTCAACCTACGCTTTTTTCTGAAGGAGAGGCATGCCACATGTACCTGCCAAAACATTATATGCACATGGTTTTGTTTTGACATCTTCTGGCTCAGTAGATGACCAGACCTCCTATACCAAATGTGTGTGTGACAGGATTCTGAGGCTGTATCAGCTTTCAGGGATCCTTTTTAATTGAAGGAGAGAAGCATGCCCTGCCCTCCCCCCACACACTTCCTCCAGGTTCATGTTCTTTTTTAGTGCCATCAGAATAGCTCTAGCTCTGGCCAAATAATACATTTGCTTGGACAGGATGTGACTTTGGGCAGTGATAATAAACACCTCATCAGTGAAAAGCTGATGATTATTGGGAGCTTCCTGACCTTTCTGCTGAGTCTGTCAGCCGTGTCAGCATTCTCAGATGCTCCCACTTCTCTAATTTGCAAACTACTTGGGCCCAGCGTGGGAAGCCAGCAGGGGACATCCCTGGAGGGAGAGCGAAGCGTGTGAGAAGGCAGAGGAGACAGCAGCTGTAGCTGTATCGAGGGGAAAGATAGCAGAGAGAATCTGTGGTTGTAAGGAACTTCAGAAACCTCTGTGGACTTTTCGTGATTTGGAAAACTGCAATTTACCATTTCAAATATTAGAGCATTCATTTAGTCCACTAAATATGTAGTTGATTGCAGGGGACCTTTGGTTATTACCACTTTGGGTTGAATTTGAGCTGACAGACTAGGGATGACATGCTCCAGATTGTCCTTCAAACCTCTCCAAGGCACCTGTTTCCCTGTTTTACTAGGATCTTCCCTTCTCCACAGCTGTGAGGATACAGATGAATCCACCCCAGGCTTTTATGGATACAGATGATCCTTACTGGGAAGAGGATGAAAACTCTCCCCTTCTTTCCAGATTGTCAAGGATCATTTTAGTTTGAGTCTGGAGGGATGATTGCTTTGATTTATGCCAGCAGGAGCTAATGCAGACAGACTTGGGTTGGTGGTCTTAATGATTATGCCTGTACTTTAAACCTGTAACTCGACAAAAGCCGTTGCTCTGTCAAAAAGACATAGTAAGAGAAGTTGGAGTTGAAGCTGATTTATTTGTTTATTTTTACGTTTAATGTGTTGCATTTGATTTGAGGTAAGGTAAATGTAGACAATGTTACCTTGAACAAGAAATCTTGCATCACCTTGTGTGGGTTACGTAAACTTAGAAGAGCTGACCACAATAACCAGCATGCAAACCTTCTGTTTTGGTGTCAGTTGAGGCTGTATTTCATGGAGCTTGCATTTCAAAAGGTTGTGGCAATACCAAGCTTACAGCATCCAGCACTATGGTTAATGATTTTAAAAAAAGTGCCATAATAGGTTTCTGTTCCTGAATGGTGTTTCACTTATGGAGATGATCCAGTTAAATAAGGAACTGCCCACGCTCTGGCATTTGACTTCATTGGTGATACACCTCACACTGTGGGAGGAGGGGAAAGGGGAGGGGGGCGAATGCAGAGTGGGTAAGGAATTTGGGTAGCATATTTAGCACTGGATACGGTCTACTTTTGTACACGATACAGAGAACCTGATGACTTTAAAGCAAATTAAAATCTATTTCAGTTATAGGTAGATGGTTGCAAAAGGAAGGGAGCCTAATGCAACCAAAAATCCAGGGGTGTCCTGGGCAGAATTGCCGGGTGTGACCTGGTTTACTTACCAAAATCCAGGGATTAGCATGACAAGTTTCAAGCTATTTTCAAAAGATGGCGAAGAACTCACTCCCTGTTTAACCCTATCCCCCAACACAAAACTCCTTTGTTTAACTGGACTAACAAGGAGGAATAAACTTAAATAGCTAATTCTGTTGGTAAACATCAAGCATGTATTGCCGTCATCACTTGAGCTGCCTTTCTATAGTGTGATCTTTGTGGAGTTGTTGAATACCAGTATTAGAATTTTTCTTAGTTTCCCTGGGTTGAGGGGAAAAAGGGCCTTTCCAGTTTTGAAGAATTTCCTAAGTTTTCTAGGTTTCTATGTACATACAAATCCAGAGTTCTTGCCTATAGCTGGAGTCCTGCATTCTCTGCCTGTCTTCTGCTTCAAAATTTGGTGAAAGAGCCAACTAAGTAGTTTAAATGGTGGAATGTTTCATTATTGAAATTATCCAAATACTGGGTAGCAGGAAAATCAAGAATTTGCTGATAGTATTGTTTTTATATCGAAAACACAAAACTAAGCGGTAACAGCCAGCCTTGAATACATGAGAAAGTCTTAAATAAGAACAGAAAAGCTGTTCAGAACTGAACCCCTCCTAAGCATGCTGGCTTTTGGAAGGATCTGTTTTGGGATCAGTCTAACTGGAGGCATAACTTTTTTCCTAACTCAAGTCAGTGAGTGTAATGATGATGAGAAAATAGAATGTCTGGAGGAGGAGCTCACCTCGACTACATTCTTCTTGCTGCCTATGAACTCACTGGCAACTGTCACTTTCCCTTTTTCCCCAGTGGGGGACCCCGGTGATGCTGGCTCTATGTGAAGGGTGGACAAATCTCAGCTCACCGAGATTTGAGCTGTTGTCTAAATCTGCTTAGTAGACTTTGCCAGACTTAGGAAATTGTGTTAATCTGTTTGCGCAGGAGAGGAATTGCAGAGGTGTAAGAGCTCCAGCAGCTCTCCCTTACCTGAGGGTGGGAAAGGATTCAGCTCTGTGACTGCCTTGTGGCTGGGAGCTTGTTTTTAACCTGCAAGTTGCATTTCCAGCAGTCCTACCTAACTTTGACTCCCTTTCTGTGAACTAAATATTAAGGATACCACTGGGAACTTCTTGAGGCAAAAATGTTACTTTGTTCAAAAGGCGTGATGAATAATTTTTTAGTAAAAACTAGTTCCTGGACAAACAAGGACATACTGACTGTGCGCATGAAAATAATGCGTTTGAAAGGTACTACTGTAGGGCAGTTCATCTGAACCTAAGGCACATGTTATTGTTAACTCATTCACAGCTTGTTTTCAAACTCTGATGGTCTGTATTAAGCAGATTGTTGCTCCTTCATATTCAGTAAATGACTTAATTTCTTCAAATCCTTGTCTGAAGTACCTGTGTAGTCAATTTTTGTATGCTAGAAAAACATCTCTTTCTGTGCAAACTGAAGTCTTTATTTAGTAAAATATAATGGATTTCCAGATCTATGGGTTGTAAATCTGAGCAAATCATCTAAGCATCTGTCACTTAAAACTGTGGAGAACTCTACTAAGTGCCTTGCTACTACTTTGTTTTTTAAAGATTTACTTTCAGAACATTTTTCAACACAAAGGATACCAATAATTATAGAAGTGCTATGGTTTTAAGGTGGAAAAAATAAGGCAATTGGTGCAGAAGAGAGGTGATTTTTTTGTTGTTGTTTTTTCATAAATAAATAGAAGGACCTCTGTTCCACTGGTATCTGGAGTGGTTCAGTACAGTAGTTACTACGGTTCACATAAAGGCTAGTGCAAGGAGTTTTGTTTGTCCGTTAACTAACAAATAGTGCAATGTAGTATAGTTTTGTGCCAAACAGTATTTTACCTTTAATGAAACAGATAATCAGCAAAGAAATTGGGAACTGCCTAGTGACCTTTTATGTGAATCTCTTTCAGGCACCTTTTTGGGCATGCATCCTGGGTGCATTAGGACTTTTTATCTACCAGTCTCTGGATGCCATTGATGGGAAGCAAGCCAGAAGAACAAACAGTAGTTCTCCTCTAGGAGAACTCTTTGATCATGGCTGTGACTCTATTTCCACAGGTAGCCTTAACCTACTGTTACCCATCCTAGTTGTTAAAAAGTTACCTGTTTTCAAGAGGAGCTCATTAATCACAGAACTCTTGAAGCTGAAAAGGACCATGCTTAGAGATTCTTTACTATACAGAGCCAATGTTTTCCAGTAGGGTACAGGTGATGCCTAACAGAGGATTTTAAGCACCTAAAAGACTGATGCTGACATGTGAAACTAAGGGATTTTGCTTTAGGAGTGAGGTGCCAAACTATGAGTTTGGTAACAGGGTGTCCAGCCTACACTTGGGAGGAGGAGAATGTATATTCCTTAGAAGGAGTTTAAGAAAAGTTGATTTGGAGTCTTTAAAAAGTGAGCCTTGCTCAGTTTCACTTTCTGTAACTTAGCTGCTGTTGGTGGCAATGCCTGTGCTTCTGTACGAGCTTAATGGCCGAAACAGTTGCCCTGGGGGTTGGTACGATCTTGATGCCTCACTTTGCAGAGAAGTGCAACTCCTCGTCCCTCTGAGCTGGGACCTTCAGTTGAAGCTGTTGGGGCTGCAAAGGACAGGAGATAAGGCCAGCAGAAGGGACAACCACTGCTGCAGGCTAGAAGGCAGGGCCCTCGCTTGCTAGAAAAGGAGTCCTGTGTTTTGGTCTCTCCTGCCAGGACTGTCCCTGAGGTTAGCTGCTCCCACTCAGTAACGTATGGGTCCTGTCATTACTTTGCTACAGTGATGTAAAATGCCTTGTGATTTATTTCTCTTATCTGCAAGCAAAGAGGCTATGTGACTAACATGTTCGTTTCTGCTTTTCAGTTTTTGTTGTCCTTGGATCCTGCATAGCAATCCGACTAGGAACAAATCCTGACTGGTTGTTTTTCTGTTGTTTTGTGGGACTGTTCATGTTCTATTCTGCTCACTGGCAGACATATGTATCAGGCATACTAAGGTTTGGAAAGTAAGTAGGTATCTTTAGAAGTACATGTGGCTTAATACCTGAGACTGCTAACTACTTGATTTCCTTTTTTTTTTTTTCCCTGCTCTCTCTTCCTCTCACCTTCTTCCTCATCTCCCTAATGCTCTAGCAGGCTTGTATTTTACCTGGCAAGACTCTAAAACTCCGCATAATGCTGAGGATTTGTTCTTTTAACAGCTGATTTCAGCTGTAAATGCTTTGTTTGCATGCATTTGTCTTTTATCTGTGGATTCGTTTTAGGAACCCATACAAGCACCATGCCTAGAGTTTAAACAAGTGCTCTGGGTAGGAGTAGGGACAGAGCAAGCATCTACAGTACCTCCCTTTGTAATGTCCCAGCCACTTAGGAGACTCTCAACAATGTGCATTTTCAGATAAATTTCCTTGCTGATGGGTTTTGCTTCCATAGACATCTTCAGCTTTCCTTTGAACAAACTCTCCACATCCATTGTGTCCTTTGGCAAGGAGTTCCACAGAGCTGTGGCAGTGCTTGAAGAATTATCCCAGGTTTATGTAGGGGCTTTGCTTTTAATCTGGCTCATACTAGCTTTGATGTCCTTCAGGTTTTGTGTTAGGTGACAGTTCTAAGAGATTGCTGTGACACTGCCCATGACTTGGTAGAAATTCCATCTGTTTCCACTGCAGTGTAGGAGGAGGAGTCATGACATTGATGTAGAAGATCACAATTTGAATTTAATTCCGAGTAGTGGAGGGATTGCCTCACCCTCCTGCAGCTGTGATGCTGCCTAGCTGCGGAGGGCCCTTTGCTGGTTTTAAAGGAAGACCTGCACTTCGGTAAGGATTTCTGAAGAGGAAAAGATCAGAGTTCTGTAGCAGCAAAACTGGAAATAAGTGATCAATGAAGGCTATCCTGCTAATCCTAGTCACTTGCTAAATCACCTGTTTGTAGGTCTACTCAGCTATCCTTGCGTACCGTTCAATGTTGTGTATAAAAAGAGAGTGGTAATGTTAAGAGCTCTTTTTTTAGTTGCTGATAATGCATTTTGCCACACAAACTGTAACTCTTCTACCTGCCTACTCATCCTGCTATTTTTAAAGGGCATTTTGCACTGTAAACAAAAACAGTGCATCAGGAAGGGACTGAGACTCCAGTACCACATAAAAATATCTCTCTTGAAAACTTGATGACTTCTGTGAAAATATAGTGATAGTGCCTTGTACAAGCAGTTTGGAATGGCCTGGTGCACCATGCTGACTGAAATTAGACACAGCTCCTTTTCTCCAGGATAACTTACTTTTTCTTAGTGAAAACAGGTCAGAGTGTTTTTTCAAGGCTTGCAATTTTATTTCTTTTAAGTACAGAGGTGAGAGTCTAAATAAAGGCTGACACATAATAACATGGGGGGAAGCTTTCACTGATGCTGTATATGAGCTAGCGGCACTTGATTTTAGAAGTCAAATGACAGGCGAGAAAGGCCTAGTGCTGGTGGCCAGGAAGGATCTGGGTCCTATCCCGCTGTCAGGTTGTGTAGAGTACCCCACAGTGGTTGCTTAAAATCTTTGGACTCTGATTTGGGCTGATGTTGCGACCAACAGTCTGAGCCTCTGTAGTACAAATGAGGGAGTGCAACAGTGTAGGAAGGAGGGGGCTACCCATTCCCAGGGCTTTGAGGCGTGACAAGCACCTCATCTAGTTGCTGCTTAAACTTCGGCTCTTCTAAAACTAAGAGTCTGAAGCTAGTGGTGAAACTCAGCATATTTTATCACTATCTTTCTGGTGAGAGAGTTTAGTGTTACTGTGATTATCAAGATCAGACAAATGTTTTCCATTAGCCAAGAGCTGATTCCTATCTCCCTTTAAAAATACACCATTTCCTGTGCAAACAATTCACGTGCTAAGCAAGTAACAGTACGTGTTGACTTAGGTCATGATACAACATTTCTTTAAGCGGTTAGAATAAATTTGCTGGTTTAATGTATTTTAAACATCCGTTGTCACTGTTTGCTGGTAACTTCAGAACCAAGATAAGGTACCCATCTCGGATCTTCTGGTAGTATAAAAGGTCCCTTAGATGTGCACATTTTTTCCCCTATTTTAATGCTTTATTGAAAATATTGATTTTTTTTATTATTATTTTTTTTTTCCTCTTGAGCCTCTGCTTAATTTTTTTATGTATTCTGGTCTTCTCAAAACATTTCATCCATCAAATACAGTAATAAAGAGATGGCTATCTTGTCTGAGGACAAAAAGTAGAATATAGAGTGCAGACTTTAGAGAACATACAAGGCCACTTATTTAAAAAATGTTTTTATGGCAAAAAAGCAAGATAACAATTACATGTCCTCTGAAAAAGGACAGTTGCTTACCTATCCACTGACTCCATCCTCAGAATACTGCCCTTATGTTTTGCAGGCTGTATCTGTCACGTTTTCATGATATGATAAAGAGAACCCTTTTGCCCCAGCCTTTTCTTCCCAGTTCATACTTCTGTATGATAGCTTTTAATGGAAATGTTTGATTGCATTTACTGTGAGCTTGCCTTAATCCTTGATTTGATATTTAGACTGTAAATTTAGATAAAATTCTCAAATAGTTAATAATGTATTCATTGAAGGTTTCCCCCTTATTAAAATTATATGTAGCGTGGTCTAGATAAGGAGTATAGCTTTAATTATAAATATTAGCCAAAAATGTGTGCCTTCTTATAAAAGTATCGTTTTCAGTCAAGGAAAATCACATTCTGTATATGCACATGTAACCTGAAGGACTTTTAGGAAGATAAAGTCACTGGTTTTTATTTGCCCCTGCCCCCCCACTGCCTTAAACTTACAGCAAAAAAGACTTTAACTAAATCTCCCTTTTCTTTCACCCCCTAGGATCGATGTAACTGAAGTTCAGATAGCCATAACAGTGCTGCTCTTGATATCTGCATATGGTGGAACGGCGGTGTGGGACTACAAGGTAAGTGTCTGGACTTTTCAAAGTTTCAGTTGAGCATTCAGTTCCTGTGGAGCGCTTGCGGTTCCTGTGGTGCTTGAAGCTGTCCTGCGCCAGTACCATCAACACCCACCCACTGTCCCATGCTCTCTTTTAGCTTATCGTACAAATGTAGGTTATTTTGATGTCGTAGTTAACTTCGGTGTAACGGTGTGAGTTCCTCTGCACAAATTGAGAGCTACATAGAGGGGAAAAAAAGACCCCATCTGCCACAATCAAACTTCTGATCTGGAACTAATACTCTGCAGATACTTAAGCTTTAGGAAATAGTTTTCATTCTGGTTGTCTTTCTTTTGTATGTTGCATTGCAAGACATACATTTTAGTTCAGGTAAATGATTTATAAGATGCTTTATTTGAAAATTTAAAGATGAGATACTTCAACAAAACCATGAGATGAAGTTAGGAGGATTTTGGTTAAATAATCCATATTTACATGCCAATGGAGACAGTTTTGTCACATCTGTATATTCAATATCCGTATTCAACTAAATGTTTTCTGTCCAAAAGTATTGCCCTATCTCTGGCTTTTATTCTCATCTTTAAAGATGAACTTTTGTGGACAAGATCAAAAGTATATTAGACTAGCCACTTCATCTTTTCTGGAGGCTCAGAGACTCAGAAATTTGTAGCTCTGTAGCGTGTGGAAGAGCTGAGTCCATTCCATGCAATAACCAGTGCAAATTCATCTACATACAAACCACTGAGTAGTTCAAATTAATTCACGAGTTTATTCAGAAACTAAGAAATGTTTAGCTAAACTTTGTTTCCTTTCCCCATCTCGCAAGATGCTTTTGTTCTGTTTTCAAACCGCTTGTCTTTAGTTATGATTGATTTCTCTTTAATATTAAAATCTATGGTAGCTATGCTGTATCTCAGAACACTCTATATTCAAAAATATAGTCAATGGTTTCAATTTATTGCTACTTCTTTTTTTTTTAAATCCTCTGCTGCCTTTGGAAGTTTCCTTGAAACTGCAGTTGATTCTGAAAGGTAACTGTTTAATTAAAATTTTTGTCTGGCAACTATTCTAAATGCAAAGATACAGCATAACAAAAAACACGTACCAAAACACAAAGCAGGCAGATGGTGTTTGTGTTTCCTGTGGTTCCGTGTTGTGTTACACAGTGAAACAGAAGGAACTGTCCTTCTCCCTCCTCCCATGCCTGGGTGATGCCGTGGTCTATGTCAAGTTTTTGATTCTGTAGTAAAAATACTTGGAGAAGATCGTAAGGATAAGCATGGTAAGGTCTAGCTGAATTTCCAGACCAGAACTTAACTACTTGAAAGTTGAACTTAAACATTACAAAAGAAATTTGCCGTCTCCTTAGTAAGGAAACAAATTCCAAACGCTGTCCTCCTAAACTTGTCCCTGGGAAAGTGAGAGTCCAAGTAAAATAATCGTGTCAGTAGCTTTTTATATTTGCTTTTAAAAAAAGGTCTCATCTGTAACTTTTGGTATCTTTCTCTTGTTTTTCCTAATAAGGTCCCCTTGATGGACTTAGAACTGAAGTTCTTTGCAGTTATTGGAATACTGTGTGGAACAGCACTTTCTTTTTTCAATTACTTCCGTGTCATTTTTGGTGGAGGGGTTGGAAAGAATGGATCTACAATAGCAGTAAGTTCATCTGGTTTTGTTTAACAGGATTTGCAATACATATAAAATCTGGACCTTACTGTGTGAATGAAGCCTAAGACACATTTTCTGTCCATTTGTATTTCAGGGAACAAGTGTCCTGTCGCCAGGCCTGCACATTGGACTACTTGTCACACTGGCTGTTATGATCTACAAAAAGTCTACAACGCAGCTGTTTGAGAAACACGCTTGCCTCTATGTCTTGACATTTGGATTCGCGAATGCTAAGATCTCACAGAAGCTGGTGGTAAGGAACTTTTGTCCTGAACCTCCTAAAACTAAATTGGTTCTTGGCTGAACACCTCCTGGATGAGTGAGCACAGGGCAAGATTTCCCGTTCTGCTAGGCCGCTGTTAGCGCCTGTTTCATTATGACCAAGACACTGAACTAGACTCGGGCTCCTCTAGAGAGTTCTATATGACACTGATGCAAATACACACTTAATGGTAAGTGCATGGGTTAGAACTTTCAGTTTTGTTTAACTGACTCCTAGAAATATACTGTATTTTTTTAACATCACAACTGTGATCCTTCAGGCCTTACTAACAGTGCTGTGGCTTCTGATTTAATGATCTGAAATGGGAATTTAATCACTGAAATGAAGAGAGAAACTTTTATTTCCTGTGTCATTAAAAACATTATCAGTGAGTTCAGAAAAAAAAATAAAATCTCCCTTACTGCATATTTGCTAACAACAGTAATCCAGCCAGCTGATTTTCTTTTAAATATGTTTTTTGTCTCTAAGAATGCTAAATATGGAAGGATCAAGGTATATAGGGGAAAGAGATTCCCTCCTCCCCCAGTAATCTTTCTTCCTCTCTCAGTCACTCTGTAAAGTATCTCTGTGCATGTATCGCTAGCTCTACTAAACAGTGAAATCAAGACTTGTCACCAAAGCAAAAGCTTAGTTTCTAGTTAGCTTTTGGCTAGGAAAAAGCCAAAATTTTCAAGTTAGACTTGTAAACAACAGTTTAAGTTACTAGTATTCATTTTCAGCAATACACTTGCCTAGTCTTACGCTTCGAATACAGCACTGAAAAAATAAGAATGAGGAATCCCTGCAAATACCTAAAATGCATTGGTATAGAAGTAACATATTAAAAAAGAACATTGAAGGACGTGGACACATTTTGTATATACTAAAAGCCAAAAAAAATTACCACCGAGAATTCAAATAGTGTGTTATCACTTGATTATCACTTGATTCAAGTCCTACTTATTGATCAAATAACCTGGAAAGAGGTTACTGGGACCTCAGGAAAGAAAGTGAGGGAGCAGCAGGTCCTGAAGCACTTAAGCTCTGGGCCTGCCTGTTGCTTCTGAAGCACCGAAGACAGGAGGCTGTTGCTGGGCAGGGATGTTGCACCCTTTCATAAGTCAGGTGGAGGTTTTCTGGTAGGTACATTGATCTTGCAGTGAGGTGCCTTCTTGGCTCTCTCTTATTTTTTATTTATTCTTTTTTAACATAGGTCGCTCACATGACAAAAAGTGAAATCTCTCTTCAGGAGACTGCATTTATTGGGCCAGGACTTTTGGTTTTGGATCAGTACTTTGACAGTTTTGTCGATGAATATATTGTTCTGTGGATAGCACTGGTAAGCATTTTGGTTTATACTTTTCATTTGAAGGATACTTAAAGGAATGGATTGAGAACTGTCTCTGCCATTCTGTTCTGCCACTGCTGACTTGGTCAGATTTCAGCCGTCACTGCAGAGGGAGTGCCAGGGTACCATGTAAACATGTATTTTGGGAGCTGTTTGGCTTCCTTTCCTTGGAACAGAGATGTGAAAGTAAATTTTCAGATCTCTCTTGGTAGTTGTCTTTAGTTCAGGTGATTTGCTTAAAGTTATTCTGGTAACTGCAGACTAACAACCGTTATTTTTGAGGCTTTTTAAGTGTTTAATGCTGTTTGGTTAGAGAGAATAAATAAATAGACTATATATGTTAAAATGCTTGTTAAACTTGCCACTTGAATAGGTTGATTAAAGTATAAATGAATTTATAGTAGAGGCAATTTAAAAAAAAAAATTAACCTGTTCTGTTTTGTTCTTTTAAAGTTCATATCCTTGTTTGATATGCTGAGATATGCCACTGGTGTATGCCTACAGATTGCTGCTCATCTTCACATACATGTCTTCAGAATTTCATCTCATCAAGCTCCTGAACAGGTTCAAAACCATAATGACTGATTAAATAGGTTAAGGACAAGAGACAAAGTAGCTAGGGGGAAGTTGAATAAAGCAGCTTCTCTTTTTTGGGGGGAAGACAGATAAAGCTTTTCAAGAAAAATAGTTCTATGTGGAAACTCACTCTGCCCTAGACATTACTATATGTTAGAATTGCTAAATACAAAGTCCTGCAGATTGTTGTGATCAGCACTTTCGAACCAGGATGTATTTCCCTGTGTTCTAAACACTGCACCTGTTATTTCATACCATGTCTGAAACTTCTGCCATTTCCTGTTGGGTGACCTTAATTCTGTGCTTCTGGTCTGGTAAATGTAGGCTGCAAGCTAAGGTGCTACCAGCTAGAATATGAAGAGAGTTTTCACTTTGCCCTAGAACAAGTGACTGATCTTGTAGTGTTAATTTCTAAAGTCTTCCTGGAACTGCTGTGAAGTGGTAGTCAGAGGTATCAAGGAATACAGTACTGCATTATTAAGACTGTTAAAATGAGGCAGCCATGAGGTAAAACTGCTTGTTAATCTCTGATCCAGTATTTCTAAGGACCAAGCTACTGGATCTGCAGGATGAAGGAGATACAGCTCAGGAAAATTTTCTTCTACATCAAAATATTCTGAGTGCCTTTAGGATTCATGTGTTCTCTAGTATTTAAAGTGCATAACCCACTGCTAATAAATACAATTGTAGCTTGTAGTTTCTTTCAAGGTCACTTTCTTGTTTTGTGGTTACAATAAGCTTTGTCTCATTGTACTCCCATCATTATCTCGACTATAGGTAGTTGTGTATTTTGAGGACACTAACTTCTACTTACTCTAACTTGTATCTGTGAAACTATGCAAGTGAATGACAAAGTTCACTGATAAATGACTGTGACAATGAACCCACCCATATGTAATTCCCTCTGAAGTATGTTTGCCATTGGTGTGTTTGCCTACCTATCTAATCTGTCTTGTAGCTGTCACTGTTCTTTATGCAAACAAAACTGCACAGAATTAAACCCTAATGTGTTTCTGCAAAACAGAAAGTCAGTCCCACAATCAGCCTTTATGTTACTTTAGGAACAAACCCACTGCCTAACATAAGGTGCCTAGCTAAAGGGCTGCTGTTGTCACACATGAAAGCTGAATGACAGTAGCTTATTACCTGTACAAGCAAATTGTGACTTGCACACCAGCCCTGTAAGCTTAAGCTCCTTTAAAAAGGTACTCTTTGAAGATTTTTGTAAGGAGCTGTTGAATATAAGTCTCCATTGCCACTTACAGTTGCTGATATGTAGCTGAGCTATGAGTTTGTGAAGCCTTTCCTGAACTGTACAATAAAGAATGCTCTGCTTTGTTTTAAAAATATCACCACTGCAGATTCCTAGCTGCACATTAATCCAGAACTACTTCCTGAGGTGTTCAAGGAACTTTAAAAGTGGCGTATTGTCTGCCAAATTTAAGGGTAATAAAATGCCATTTACCATGCACCTGCCTAAGAAGGATATACTGATATACATGAGGGATAACTGTAACAGTTACTGCCAAAAGACTATCAGTTGTGACTAATATCAATTCCAGATTAATCCTACTACTCCTCTTTGAGGCTCAGAAAGACATAGCACCTACCTGTGAACTTAGCCTGAATTCACACCATAGGCAAAGAGAGTAGAGACCATTTCAGTTTGAATACTGTAAACAGATTAACCACGTGATGAAAAAACACACATTTTTCAAGTGAGGTTTGTTTCCCTAGAATGCTCAAAAATGCGTCACATACAGGTAAAAAGTAGTTTTAAGGACATGATTGAAGTGTGCGTATGATAAACTTATGCAGAAATTAGTCAGAAAAAACCAGAAACATGAGGCAGCTGTTAACTGTTTCACAGGATCATCTAATCATCCTTAGAGGACTCAACAGCCCAGTTACAAATTGGTGTAGTTACCTACCAGAGGCCTATGTCATCTCAGACATCACTCTAGCAATGTAATTTCTGTGTTTCCTCCTTCCCCGGGCCCCAGCAGATGCAGAACAGAAAGTGCTCTGTACCAGCTGCTTGTTCAGCTGCAGCCGGGTAATAGCTGAGGTTGCTCTAAGCTGGCTGTCATGCATCTGCCTCTCCGAACTGGAGAACCATCACCAGATGACACTGTCGTGAGCTGAGGAGAGGAATCTCTACAGACTGGTTTTGAAATACACTGTTAGGGAAACATCACATTTGTGCGAGTGGGTGTGTGGATGTTTTTTGGTTTATCTACTATTGTATTAAGTCTAAACATGAAATATGTTAGAACCTAATTTGTAAAAATGAATATTCAGGTGTAATGGTTTTCTGTTAAAACTTGCTGCATGCAAGCTAAGCCAATTGCTTAATTTATAATGATTTACTGTAATGAGATACATGAAAGATAAATGGTTTATCCTTAAAACTTAGGCCTCCTGAAATTGTTAGTCATTTGGAATTGCAAAAAGTAATATTCCGTCTCAAAGGCTTGTAATAACATGTACTAAATAAATGAGCTAGATTACTTCTAGCTGTAGTTCTGAAGAACTGTATACCCCAAAATGCCTAATGTTTAGTTGTGCTCAGCAGATGTCATAGAAAGATGTGATACTCAGCTCTCATTCAACTAAAGAAAATACTTTTTGGACAAGTTGCAGCAGTTCATACATCTCTTACTAGTACAAAGATACTACACTGCCTAGCCTAACGAAAGAGTTAATAGAATTTAATTTAGCATAATACACATTATTAAACTTAGAGGAGTTTTGTGATACTTTGTGAACTTTTATAACTACTGATATGTCATCAGGTGAACTGTTGAAGCTATGAAAATCCTGAAATCTGCAGCTTGTGAAAAATGCTTTTATTTGCACAGTGAACCCGAAGGCCTAAATTTATGTAAAATTTGGGTAATGCATCTTTCATTAATTCTGCCCATTGTTAAAACAATTTAACACTCCAGTGCTACTGAAAGTCACTATTAAGTAGTTTAATTGGACAAAGAGTAACTGGTTTGGGCTCCATATCCTCCACCCCAAAGTTACAAATTTACTAATACACATTCTTACAAGATTAGAACAATACATTACATGACTGATTAATTAATAAGAACTTTTAAACATTTAAATCTTAACATACTTCTCTATGGCTAATGCCTATACTTGTATCATGTTACTTAGGTACAAGTTGTTTCTCCATTGAGCCATCAGAATAACATGGACTGAAGAGACTTGCGAACAGTTGCCATCTCCTGCTGTTGCTGTTACAAGAAAAAAAAGGAGATAATGCTGAACAAATGCCGTATCAATACAATTCCTTTGAGCTCATTAAATGAATGTCAAATGAGTTTTTTTAGAGAATGTTCAATTTGTGCACTTGATTAACTTCTTCACAGCTCTTGATACTTACAGTGTCCATCATAATCTTCTTCTGCAACATAGCCATTTCTTTGCGAAGTTCACTTTGTGCACCAGCTAGAAGGTTTTCATTGGTCTTCTCCAGCTCTTCCATGCTCTGAAGTTAAGGATAATCTTAATTCAGAACTATTCAATGTCCAAGGGTTCATTTAAATCAAACGAACAAGCCATCATTCAGACTACAATTTAATTTTTACAGCAGTGGTGGTCACTGACAATTGACGAGTTTTGTTACAGTCTTGACAGACAACCAGGGCTTCACATTCTGCTCTTTTTTTTTTAAACAGTATAGACCCCGTGAAGGAAACGGGCTGCTCCACTTGGCGTCTTGTGAGGGCTCACCTGGTGATCCTGCATTTCAGTAAAGCTAAGAGTCCTACAGGTTCAGCGGGGACCTTATCTATGGACAGAAACAGCTGATGGAGGCGGAGTGCAGAGAAGATCGAGCCAGGCTCTTGAGGTGCCCAGTGACAGGACAAGGAGTAATGGGCACAAATTGAAACACAGGAGGTTCCCTCTGAACATCAGGAATTATTTTTTTACTGTGAGGGTAATGGAGCGCTGGGATGGGCTGCCCAGAGAGCCTGAGGAGTCTCCATCCTTGGAGATACCCAGAAGCCATCTGGGCATGAAATCCTGGGCAACTGACTAGGTAGCCCTGCTGTACCACCTGCAGGCTGGTCTAGACAACCTCCACAGGTCCCTTCCAAGCCTCAGTGATTCTATGGTACTCATTTAGAGTACTTTCATTTTTCTCATGGTTTCAGTTTCTAATACCTTACTTTGAAAAAAAAGCAGGGGAGGAAATCTGAGGAATAATAAAGCGTTTTGTACTTAGTGTAAAATGACAGGGAAAAGCTTTTTTTTTTAAATAAAAGTCTTATTTTTTGAGTAGTTGTACTCAATCATTTTTTGTTTGCTGTCTAGTGTTTTAGGTACTTTGTTAAAAAAAAAAAATCAAAACACACCGTAGTTGATCAGTAATGAATCGTGATTAAAATACATTATCTCTATAAGCACTGTCTAAAAAAAATGGGTGTTTCAAGGAACTTGCAGCAAATGCAAAAATTATGCACAAAGCAGCAGAGAAGTTAAATGGACCAACTGCATAACCACCCAGCTAGGCCTGTTTTCACCATAAATCACCATTCCCACCAGCTTCTTCCTGTTCTCATTTTAGTGAATGCTGAATCTGAAGTCACAGAAAGGAAACTCCTCTCTAAATGAGTGCTGCTTAGGAAGCGATGAAGGGATTTCTAAGTAAGGGAATTAAAGCTGATTTTTTTTTTTTTTTAAGGGTCACTTTCCTTACATGAAGCAGCAGTAGCCAGAAAGGTTAATGACAAAAAACATTAGTATCTAATTCTCATTATGGGGGAAATAGCTGCCAGCAGTAATAAAAGCAGTAAATGGTAGCCTAAGATGTATTTTTAATAGATCAACAAGTTTCACTTTTTTACATACATATGAAAAAATCTAAGGGAAAAGTTGAGACAAAATTCTGATGATTTAACTGACTTACATAATCTTTTAACTAGTACAAAACTGCGTTCTGTTTGGAAGGTATGCTCTGAGGGTTGTGGTTAAATATTTGAAACACATGAGCCAGTCAGATCTCTGAAAACACCTTTGACTAAATAACTCATTGAAGTTACAATGTGCATGCATGCATAGAGAGAAAAAGGCACTTTCCTAACAGATAACAGAAAGATACTAACATGAATATTCATGCAAGGCTGTTATTTTCCTTA